CGTGTTCAGAAAAGGTCTGGTTTGAATACCCATATGAGAGGTGTATTAATTTTGAACTTGTCAAAAGGAGCATTTGCATTGGAAACAGTTCCACGAGTTTGTCTGCATCACAAATGAAACGAAAACCCTCCCGCCCCGTTCTGATTCAGCTTGGGTTGATTCCAGCTGAACTTGGGCACAGGTTCACTGGGCTCTACTCTCCCTCACTCAGCACCTTTCTGACTTCTGCCTGCTCACTAGAATTATTTAAAGATGTTTGAAGGAAGCAGGCCAAATGTGATGGGACCTCAACTGTTATTTTGGGTTCTCCGTGCCTTGTAGATGAAGCCTCTAAACATGGTAGGGCTGCAGACCCTGTGGATCTGTGTGTCTAATTGAAGCAGACGAGACTGTAACTCAGACTTTGCATATTTCAATGAAATATTCATGAATCCAGGAGGGAATAACCCGGGGTGAACATCGAGTTGTATAATCTGAATATATTCTCTATCACTGTCAGCAATGTGCAGACAGCTCAGAAAATACTGAGGAGGGTCTGTGCTCCTTGAGAAACATCTCACTGCTTTGGCTCTAAGGACAATAATGATTGTGTTTGCCCAGACTATTTAATTAGCAGATTTTTTTCCCAAATTGGGCACTTAAGGACTTAAGTCCCCATTTACCCCATGTGAAAGCATGTGGCTTCCCAGGAAGGCTGAGAAACTCCAGCTCCCACTGGAGATGGTGCGGGTGGAAGGTGCCCAACCTCCCGAGACGCGAGGCAGGTTCTTACTTGGCTCTTTTAATACAGACTGAAGTGCTGAACATTAGGCACACCTTCATCAGATGATGCTCGTCTCTATTTTTGAACTGATTGCTCCCAAGACCTGTAGGTTAGGAGTGGGAAGGAAAACCAGTAATGGAGCAAAATGCCTGTGATTTAGCGATCGGATTGCAGGCAGCCAGAGCCATGCATCAGGCTAATGAGATTCAGCCTTGTTTGCTTACAAGCACTGGAGACAGGGGCAGAAAACGCGATCCACCAAACCAGCTCTCAGGAAATGAGAGACAATAGAGCGAGGAAATCAAATTTCAAACTGCAGGGATATATTTATCAAGTTTTCCTTGGGATTTTTTTTATTTTTTTGTTGTTGTTGTTGCTGCAGAGCTTTCGGGCGTCCTTTTGGGCAGAGCGTTTTTTTCCCAGTGTTTTTTCGGGCAGCCGCCATATGGCTGGAGGATTAGATCACTGTAAAGCACCGTTGTTTGTGACCTATTTGTTAATGCGGGGCTGGGGTCAGCGACGAGGGACGAACGCGCTTGTCGTTGCCCGGCGCTCTTCAAGTGCTGTCCCTGTTGTCGCTCTCACCGTGGCCAGGCGTTTGGAACACAGTCATTAGCTAATTAGTGGTGTGCTCAGCCCCACGTGGCCGTAGTGTCTGTGGGGGTGGGTGATATTCCCATTATGGCCGTGGAACGGGCCCTCCCATGGCTTCCTGGCTCTTCCCTAGGTGTGTTGGGAGGGCAGCGGCGGCTGAGCGGAGCTGGGGGAGGATGTGCCTTCCTCATCTTCACTGGGAGAGCCTCTTGCGTACCAGGCATCCCACTCCTTACCCCCCTCTTCCCTATCCTGCTGCTCCTTGCCTTGCATGCCCCTCTACACCCACTCGCTGGGTTCGCTGCCACCATCTTATCCCTGGTGACCAGTGCCAGGACCTGAGGCAGTGGCATGAAAACACCTCAGGGCAAGTTTAGGCTGGATCTCAGGAAAAGGTTCTTCCCCCAGAGGGTGGTCAGGCATTGATCAGGCTCCCCAGGGCAGTGGGCACAGCACCAACCCTGGCAGAGCTCCAGGAGGGTTTGGACAACGCTCTCAGGAACGTCGTGGGATTTGTAGAATGGTTTGGGTTGGAAGGGATCTTAAAGACCATCTTGCTCCAACTCCCCTGCTGGGGGCAAGGGACACCTTCCACTGGACCAAGTTGTTCCAAGCCCCGTCCAACCTGGCCTTGAACAATTCCAGGGATGAGGCAGCCACAGCTTCTCTGGGCAACTTGGTCTGGTGAAAGGTGTCTGTGATTCTTGAGGTTGTCCTGAGTTGGACTCGATGATCCTTGTGGGTCACTTCCAGCCCAGGATGTTCTGGGATCTGCTGTCTCCCTGTGGTTATCAGGGCGGTGCCGCGGCAATCGGCTCCTGGTGCCTAACTCCCACTGCAAATCGTGGCCTTGAACTCTGGTTCTGCCAACGCAGCTGAAACTCTGTGGGCTGGGAAGGATCTGAGAGTGGCTCGGGTCAATATCCAAGGTGTGGTCCAGCCCATTCCAAAGGGGGATGGGGCAGGGCTGGGGTGGGAAGTTTTCAGCGCCCAGGTTTAAAATCACAGGACAAATGCAGTGACCTCCTGTTGCTAATACAAAATGCACTGCCACCAGTCCTTTCTCCCCTCAAGGGACCATCCTTTTGCAGCCTGGGCAGATCTCTGCTGCTGCAGCTGTGTCACTCTGATACCTGCCCAGTGTAGCAGGAACAGTGCAATTTAAGGCATTAACATGTATATAATAATAATTTAAAAAGTGTAATTTTACTTGACTGGCTTGTTTCGCTCACACTAAGTGGCTCGATCTGGTTGATAGAAAACAGATTTTTTTTTTTTTTTTTTTTTTTTTTTTTTTTTGTCAGAGGTGTTCCAGCTGCAGGAGCTTTTTGCTGGGTTTGCTGATTTGCACATTTAGGCTGTAGAAAGACACCTGGGATGGAGCTGGGAATGGTGAAGAAGCTGCCTCCTGTTCCTGAGAGCTGTCTGCCTGGACCTGGAAGGAAGACAGAGGCAGGAGACAAGGCAGCAGGAACAATCTTCTTCTTCCCATTTTATTTTAACCAAGAGCTTTCTTCTCCTTCTTTAGAGCTGTCAGCACCTGATCATTAGGATTAATGAATGTGCACAGAATCACTGGGCTTCCATCATTGCTGTTTCCTTCTAAAGAAGAAAAGGGGGAAGGATTCTTTCAGCTCCTGCTGATAGCATCAGATGTGTGCCGATACCTTATATTTTTCACCCAGAATTTAATTCTGCCTACCTCTCCTAGCTCAAGGTTACGAGCTAAGCCAGCACTGCAGCTTGCTGCAGAAGATTTGGAGCTTCCCAGCTCCCAGATGGTGTTCAAGGCATTGGAACTTGCAGCGTTTCTTAACAAGTTGCTTTTACTGCAGCTCACTCTGTGTTTCACTGCAGTCCCTGCTCTTCTGTATTTAAACCTCAGATCTGTGGCAGATTTGATACCGACTCCATGGGAGAAAGGGCTGGGCTGGTGGATGCTCCACCCCTGGAAGTGTCCAAGGCCAGGTTGGACAGGGCTTGGAGCAACCTGGACTAGTAGAAGGTGTCCCTGTGCATGGCAGGGGGTGGAACTGGGTGATCTTTAAGATCCCTTCCAACCCAAACCATTCTGGGATTTGATGAAGTCTGTAGTGCTCGGCTAGACCCTCCTTTCACTTTAAAGCAATACCTCATACACTGGATTTTGCTCCACCTTTCCATTGTTTTGTCATGCTTCAGTAAGGCAAGATTCCTCAGGAATGTGGGTTTTAAATAACCAGCAGCACTGCCCGGAGCCAGCTGTGATCCGAACAGAGCCAGCTTCTCCCCTGACCCACGCCAACCCTGACCGTCTCCTGAGCAGCGATGTCCCGTTTCCTTGAATTGTCTCACAGTTTTACGAAGGGAACAAATATATATTCAGGGAGCATTACAATGGGTCCAGCAGCCTCCTCCAGCTTGCGCTGCCGGACACAGGTTTAGTCATTATCCCCAGAGGGGAAGGACATGTGCTCTGACCCACCCAGACCAGCCAGCTCCTCCTGCTGCCTTTGTGTGCCTCTGTGTCCCCACCGAGCTCCCCTTCATCGCCCCTGGCGTGGCGACCTGAGAGCTCCATCCCTGATCCGTAAATGTGTCCATAAAGTGTCCCTTGGTCCATAAATGTGGTTATTTTGTACTGCTTTCTTTGGCAGGAGGAGGGAAAGTGCAGTAACCGCGCTGTGTGAGGTAGTGGGAGCTGTGCCAGGGTAGGCTCAGGTTGGACATTAGGAGGAATTTCTTCACAGGAGGGGTGATTAAACATTGGAATGGGCTGCCCAGGGAGGTGGTGGAGTCACCTGGAAGTCTTTAAGGAAAGAGGAGATGTGGCACTCAGTGCTCTGGTCTAGTTGGCAAGGTGGTGATTTGCCACAGGTTGGACACGGTGATCTTGGAGGTCCTTTCTAACCTAATTGATTCTGTGATTCTGCTTCAGGGGCTGCCAGCCCACATTGGACGCTGAGTTTTTGGGGATCCCTGGCTTTGAAATCTGTTTCCCCTGGGAGCTGAGAGCGCAGAGGGGTCTCCCCAAGCCTTCTCCTTCCCTCAGAGACAGCATGAACCCTCTCTGAAGTGTTCCCTGATCCATAATTGTGGTTATTTTGTGCTGATAGACCTCTTTTTTTTTTTTGTATTATTTGACTCTGTTTCTTGGGGGATCCCTAGCACTGAAACCCGGGGAGCCCTGAGGGGGCTCCCCATGAGCTGTGAGCACCAAGGGGGCTCCCCCAGCCTTCTCCTTCCCTCAGAGGCAGCTTGAACCCTCTCTGAAGTGTTCCCTGATCCATAACTGTGGTTATTTTGTACTGATAGACGTTTTTCTTGTATTATTTGACTCTGGCTCTCGGTGGATTCCTGGCCCTGAAATCAGGGGAGCCCTGAGGGGGCTCCCCAACCCTTCCTCCCTCAGAGGCGGACACGGACCCTTCCCCGGGGGTTCCGCCCGGCGGGTGATCCCGCCTTGTAGCTCCCTGGCGCCGGGTCCGGCTGCGAGGAGCAGCCCCGGCGTCGGTCGCAGAGAGGGAAGGAAGGAGGGAGGGAGGCGGTCAGGGAGGGAAGGGAGGAGGGGAGCGCCGCGCTCCCCCCCACCCCACCCCGCCCTCAGCGCGGCCGCGCCTCGGGGCCGCGCGCGGCCGCCGGTTCCGCCTCCTCCGCCGCCTCCCCGCGGCCGCCGCCGCCATGTTGGATGGTGCGTGTGGGTGTCAAGCGCAGCCCGCGGCCGCCGGCACCGGGACACCGGCACAGCGCGCCCGCCCCGCGCCCGCAGGTCAGCGCGGGCCCCTGGGGCTGCGGGGCTGGGGCCGGGGGGCACGGGCGGGACCCCCTCCCCCCCTCCCCCGCCGCCATCCCCTCCGCGGGGTGGGCGCGGGGTGGGCGCGGGAAGGGCCCCCGGGGGTCCCCGCGGGGCGGGCGGCGGGGCGGCCGCGGTGGCCCTTTGTTGTCGCCGGTGGGTGGGCGGGTGGCGGCGGGGACGGGCCGGGCCCCCCGCGGCCCGAAGTTTGGGCCTGGCTGCCGATGGGCCTCCCGGGGCTGCGGGGGATGGTGGCGGGGCCTGCGGGCTCGGGGGGCTCTCGGGGCGGGGGGGGTGTGGGGGGGGGGGGGGAGCTCCGGCCCGCCCTGCCCGACCCCCAGACCCGGCGCTGTTCGCCTCGATCGCGGCGGGGCGGGGGTCATTTTATTCTGTTTTCAGGGATATCGCCGTTTGGAAGGTGTGTATTAGTGCTTTTAATCATTTTAAAAGGTCTGCTTTATATAGGGGGGTTGGACTAAATGGTATCCGGAGGTGCCTTCCAACCCTAACAGGGGTTCTGTGATATATCTATCTATCTATATATCTACATATGTAAATATTTTTTTTTCTTAAATTTACCTGCAGTACCTGTGATGCTACAGATTGGGGTTGGGTAGTCAGCCAGCTGTATTGCATTGAGCATTATTGCTGTGAAATGTATCGAGCAGTAATTATCGCAGCCTGCCCGCTATGGCAGCTCCCTATTTTAAAACCATAAGGCTTTAATATAAATATTGAGATATTAAAATATGAGACTTTCAAGCCATGGGGCTTTAACATTGGTAGCGTTTGGTCTCAGTTTTATGGGTGTGTGTGATGCTTCCCCCTCCCCCTTCTCAAGTGTGGTATCGTCACTGAGCTGAAAAGCCGAGTGAGATTTAAAATTTACAGCACTTGGACACATTTCTTGTTCTTACCTACTAAGAGAATACTCTGAATTGTCTGCATGCACATCCATTTTCAACAGGAGGTCTAAAAGATTCGTCCAGCTTGTGAAGGCGCTGCAGATGTTACGGGCTGTAGAGTGTGACTTTAGGAGTTCAGAGTGTAAATCAGGCCATGAGATTAAGTTTTATTATTCTCTCCACTGAAATACATGTTTTTTGGTAATACTGAACTCTTGCGTAATTCCAGCGTGTTGCTGTGTTTTGTGAGGCACAAGGTCGTAGGAAATGGCATTGTTGGGATGTGGAATGTGGGATGGTAGAATGATTTTTGATTAGAAATATAAATAGATTACAGTGATATTATTAGCAAAATGGAACCTGTTTAGGAGTTGCTTCTAAATATGTTTGTCTTGGCTGATTCTCACATATGTTGTTCTTGAGCAAACTCAAATACAGTGTTTTATTGGGAAGAATCAAAACTTTTGATAAATTTTCCATTATAAACTGGAAGTAATGGTAAACTAGCTTGACAGAATTTCAGAGATTATCTTGCCTATATTAAATATTTAACTAAGTTATCAAAATTTATCAAGTTCAAATGACCCGTGAGTGTGCATTCCTGGAGGCAGATGCTGATAAGGCTGAATTGATTGTGGGTTACATTTGAGGAAGTTTGACTTGGGGGTGCTGATTGTAACTTCCTTGTTGCCATGAAGTAACTCGGCGACATCACCAGGGTTCTCCTGCAGGGCAGCTTGACTTTTGCATGTACTGAGGGACGAAAATTAATATCAGCCTTTAGGAAATGAAATATAATGCCAACAGGATCCTAGAATCATGGAATGGTTTGGGTTGGGAGGGGCGTTAAGGCTCATCCAGTTCCAACCCTGAGTCCTCCCACTAGCTCAGGTTGCTCCAAGCCCTGTCCAGCCTGGCCTTGGACACTTCCAGGGCTGGGGCAGCCACAGCTTCTCTGGGCAACCTGTGCCAGGGCCTGCCCACCCTCACAATTCCTTCCCAGTATCCCATCTATCCCTGCCCTCTGTCAGTGGGAAGCCGTTCCCCCTTGTCCTATCACACCACGCTCTTGCACATAACCTCTCTCCATCTTTCTCCATCTTTTCGTGGACTTCTCTCCTTAGAAAAAATAATTTCTGTCTTCCCTAGATGGGAGACAAGTAGTGTTGGGTAATATTTCGGAAAAGAGTCCTGTCTGTGAATTCCCTGGTGGTCCTGCGAGGACCAGAGAAGAGATCTCTGGCTGTCAGGTGGCCTGGCCAGTGATGTTCTGGTTGGTTTTCACCTCCATTATTCCTGCAGTCACTTTTCATGAAGAGCTGACAAACATCTGATGTCCACTATAATGCAGGGAGCAGAGATGGATTCAGCTTGGACTGACCACATCATTATTTACATAACTGGTTAATCATGCTAATTTTGTTCCAGCTGTCAGCCATTTGATTGCTCTAAAACTTGGAGCTTTTAAGAAGCCTCAAATCTTGGATCACTGCTGGGAAATGCCAAAGGCCTAATTTGTTACTTCATAAAATGCTGATAGTCTCTCCTGATACAGAAATTAGTGTTTTGCTTCTGTGGTTGGGGTTTGCTGTTTATTTTTTTTTTTTTTTAAGAGAGAGAAATCATTAAATGTTAATCAGTTTTAGGAGAAAATACATTACAGAGTAGTTATGATATTCCTGATCGTGCTTTTCTTAGGTCTCAATATGTATGATGGGGAAATGACTATCGGCTTTGCTTGGTCCAGAAGAATAGAAGCCCCTCTAATATCTTTATTTAATGACTGGTGCTCAGGAAACAACTTTCCAGTCTTCCAGTGCCATATTTGCAGAGCTCTGAGTCGTCCCCCGGGAGCGGTGCTAATAGAAAATGAAATGTGCCTGGTTTGTAGGAACGCCTGTAATGTTCTTTTTTCCACTTTGCCTCGCTCTGATCTGTGCAGGGAAAATATCGAGACGTACCAGTGTCCTGCTGGCTTAAGTGCTTCAAAGAACAGCGGGTTTTTGTGTTCTTCAGCAGCCTGGCTGCTCATTAGGAAGGCAGGAGAACTCCATGGAAGGAGAACAACATGGATGCTGCTGCCCTCTGGAATCAAACCCACCGGGGCTCACTGCGGGGCCGCTGTTGGTTGGGTGCAGAGTGCTGTGTGCTGGGTAACACTCCCAGTTAGTTTAGGGGGGTGTTACGAGGTTGCTTTCCTTGCTCTGTGAGGGAAAAAGAACTCACAACTGGTTGTATGTCAGGGTAGGTGACTTCAGAGCCCGTGAACTCCAGGGTGGGTCTGGGCTTCGGTGGCTGAGCCTCTGGGTGAGTGGTGCAACAGGCAGAGAGAGCTGCAGACAAACCGGTACTGCTCACTGATCGTTTGGCAAATAACAGTTTTGTCTTTGGTTTCCAAGTTTGGCCTTAGCCTGATGTTATGACAGTGCTCCAAACCAGGCAAAAATAGTTGCCTCAGATACTTCTAAGGTGTGTTTGGTAGGTAACCAGAGGTTGTAGGCAGCTTTTAAGGAGAGAATTTAGCTTAAAGGACCCAGCTTGAGCTCCTTCAAACTGCAGTATGCATGTTCAGTTACCACAAGAAGCTAAATGCCTGTAAGTATCCGACAGTGCAGTTTGTATGAATGATTATACTAATTGGAAAATATAAAAGTGTTTTGTGTCTGTTGGTTGCAGTGTCCCTGATTGGTTTGTAATTCACTATTGCATGAGGATACAACTTGAAATCATTATGCCAGGGAGATGCTTTCCTTCTGTGTGTATAATTTTTAGCTCATTTTTTTGGTACTGCTACAAAAATTGAACTGATCTCAGAGCCAGTCCCCTGGATTGCATGAATTGTTAATAGTGTGTCTCTGTGTTTCCTGTCACTCAGAGCTGTTAACAGAAATGCCTCTAACGAGTGCCTGGAGCTTGTGTCCAAGGTCAGGCCTGGGCTGTTCACGCTGCCTGTGCCTTGGCTTGCAAAATCCAGCTCTTTCCAGGTGGGGAAACCGGAGCTCAGGCACGAACAGGTCCCCACTGGCAGTGGGAGTGCAGCTGGTTCCACCTCTGGGACTGGGTCAGACCAGTCCCAGCCCAGGCCTGGCTGCAGCTCCGCCTTGGAGGCTCCGCTCAGCTGTGTTTCTGGTGGAGGTGGCCGGGCAAAGCTTTAAGGAATCTCAAACACAGGATGTTTTGTTGTCCTCATACATACAAATTGTTTGCAAGTAATAATTCTCCTTCCACAGTCAGCAGTCGAGTTCCCTGAGCTGTCTCGAGCAATTAGCAGGAATTTGTGCATGAGACCTCTGCAGTTCCCTTCCACGTTTCTGCAGCTCCTGCCTCTCCTCCCAGTGCTGTTTTATTCATGTTGTCTGCAGTTGCTGAGTCTTGTCGTGTCGCTGTATAATAACTACTAAATATACAGGGCATGAGGAGCAGGAGAGTTTTGGAGGGTGACCCAGGCAGGAGAAGACTTTCCTCTTTCTCCTCCTGCTTTCTTGACTCATCACTGCTTGTCCTTTGCACGTGTGTGCGTCTGTTCGGTGTTTACTGGAACAGCAGTCCTGCTTCCTCCTCCACTTGTCTCCAGGTTGTGTTTCCTGTGACATGGATTCGATCACCTTTAGACCCCAAGTCTTGGTGGATGTTCTTTTTCAGCAGGAACTCCTGTTCTTATCCCTGGCAGTAAAATATTAATGTGTGAATCATTTGCTCTTTTGTGCTCATAGTGCAGCACTCAGTGAACAAAACTTCAATAAATTAAGTCATAAACTTTTTTTTTGTTTGTAAATTCAAAGCTGATTAGTTTAAAAGTAGGCCAGACACCTTACCTAGAGATGTTTTCTGTCCACCCTACAGGAATCTGAGGACTCACTTGCCTTGTTTGCTTCTCAGTGTTGCAGGAGTTATGGCCAGTTTTGGGGGCTGTTGTTTTATCTCCTTGAAGGATATATGGTGGAGTCTGGGGGTCAAGGCTGAAATTCAACAGCCAGAAATTAATTTAATCTTCCTGGTGTGTGACTTCATAGAGACTTTCCTGCCCTTCTGGAGATGTCACTTCCATAACGTGATGTCTTCTAAAATCAG